TTGCCAGAATATAGGCTTTTAGCATCCACACAACAGGGATATTTTCTGCCACTAAGAGTGGCCGGGCCGTGTTATCGCATGGGAACTGAGGGCGTTACGCAGAGAGTAAAGGCCACAAATTCAGATTGTGATGTAAATGGTTACTGCCTCCTCCAGCAGGACGTGCTGTTTCCTTTGTCTTCAGCGGGATGAAAATGTCTGTTGCTGAGGCTCTTTCCATTAGCCGTTTCTCATGATCTTTCAAGATTCGTGAGCTATTAAGGCACACGTGAGAAGAATCTTATCAAACTGTGGATGAAGATCACTTTTATTCTAAGGCAGCTTTCACCCTGTGTTTTTTCCTACACTTCACAAGACGTGGTTCCCTACGATGCTGCAAGAAGGCTGTGGTATTCGGTTTGTACAAACGCACAGCCGGAAAGATGAGCAGGCAGATGGCAGAGACAGCCGTCAGCTGCCGTGGGCGGCCCCGCGTCCCCAAGGCTCCGGGCTCCAGCAAGCAGAAAGGGGCTCCACAAAGGCCCCGCCCAGGCTCCCGGGGGGTGGGGGTGTGGAACACGGATGATGGCTTTTGCACAAGGCAGCTGTGGACGCCAGACGCGCGGAGGACCAGGCGGGGGGACACTGCAGAGGGATTGTCTTCGCAGCACAGCCGCGCCGGCTCCAGACCAGCTCCGCCCGCAGAAGCCGTGAGTCAACAGGACTCAGCCCAGGGAATTCAGCCACTACGAGCCTTTGTTTTACATCTCGGCTTTTTCTCCTTCCTGGATTTCGGAGCCTGGCAACAGCGTGGAGTCTTTAGCAGGTGGCTGCTCAAAGGCACTGGGAAACCAGCCTGCAGGGTCCTGCAAGCTGCAGGAAACACTTCCTTCACATGTTGTCCTCATTTCTCATGTCTTTCTTCCACTGGGCACTTGCATTAGCCTCTTTCGGAGGTTAGCAGAAGATTGTTTTTTAACTGAGGCATATAATTCACAGGTCATGAAACTCACCCCTTTAAAGAATTCACTTCAGTGTCTCAATGTACTGGCAAGGCTGTGCACCCGTCACCAGAATCAGTGTCAGACCATGTTCATTGCCCCAAAGGAAGACCCTGCCCATTAGTTTCCCAAGAGGCTCTGGAGGCAAGGAACCTGCTTGCCAATGCAGGAGATGTAAGAGATGGAGGTTCGATCCCTGGGTCAGGAAGATCCCCTGGGGGAGGGCACAGCAACCCACTCCAGTGTTCTCGCCTGGAGAACCCCGGGGACAAAGGTGCCTGGTGTTGGAGTCCTGACCTCACCCCTCAGAGTGTGACTGTATGGGGAGATGGAGGCTTTATGAGGTCATCATTAAAGTGAGACAGTCCAACCTGATGGCTGCCCGCATAAGAAGAGGAGATTCAGAGAGACCCAGGGGTGCAGGTACACAGAGGATGTCCCGTGAGGACACACGGGGACGCCTGTCTGCAAGCCCAGGAGAGAGGCCTCGGGAGGAACCACGCCTGCCAGCACCCTGACCTTGCAGAGCCAGCCTCCAGAGCTGTGTGGGAATGAACATCTCAGCGCCCGCCTCCGTCTGTGGTCTTCTGTTAGGGCAGCCCCAGCGGACTGATTCGGACCCCAGCAGACCTCTAGTCTGGATATTTCACACAAATAGATTCATTTCAAACAAACAGAACCATGCAACATGTAGTCTTTTACGTCTGGTTCCTTTCACTAAGTGTAATATTTTCAAGTTTCATCTGTGCTGCCCCAGATGTATAAGAACGTAATTACCTTTTATGGCTAACTGGTATTCCACGGTATGGATAGACCACATTTTGATGTCCATTTATCACTTGATGGACACTAGGGTTGTTCTCACTGCTTAACTCTTAAGAATAATACTGTTACGAAAATCATGTACAAGTTTTTGTGTGAATATAAATTTTCTATTATCTAAGACATATGCGTAGAAGTGGAATTTCTGGGTCATGTGGTGATTCGAGGTTGAACTTTTTAAGAATCCGTAAACTACTTTCCAAAGTGGCTGCACCATTTTCCATTGTCAACCGTAACGTACAGGGCTTGGGTTTCTCCACATCCTCATTACGGTCTGTCTTTTTTAATTACAACCACTCGAGTGACTGTGGAGCAACAGCTTGTTGGGGTTGGGATGTTCTTTTATGTAAAGAATGGAAAACGTAATGTGGTTTCTTTCTCTGTGCCTCACCCTCCGATATGTGTACTTTTCACAAACATGAGAAATGTAATCACCGGTTGTGAGACCCATTATCAGATCTCCTGTAGCTCATCCAGGTTGGCAATGTTGGCCTTGTCTAAGTGTATGTGTGTACATGTGCCTCGTGCACATGTGTGCATGTAATGGGTGTACACATGTGCACGTGTGCGTGTGATGTGTGTATATGTGTGCGTGTGTGCATGTGATGTGTGTGCATGTGTGCATGTGGTGTGTGTGCACGTGTGCGTGATGTGTGCATGTGTGTACACATGTGCGTGTGTGTACATGTGTGTGCGTGAGGGGGACTGTGCACACATGTGTGTGTCCTCCTCCCATGGGACAAGACCCTCTCCTGGTCAGAGTGACTTTGTTGTTCCCTTGCCCACATTGTCTACACAAGGCTGCAAATGGCAGGCGCTTTACAAACCCAGGGAGCTTCTGTGCTGGTCGCTCCAGAGGGGCTTTGAGAGCCTGCTCTCACCGAACAGGCCCCCAGGCTTCCCCTGGTTGCCCTTCAAGAACGCGGCTCTGACACCTCTTCTCTCCCTGAGGCTTGTTGCCATGGAAGTTCCTCCGTCCGCGTGACCTGAGCCTCAGGGCCGCAGCTCACACCCAGGCCCGGGAGCCTGGCGCCCGCTGCCCTGGGAGCTCCATCCAGGCAGGTCTGCGCCCACGTCTGAACCACAGCCCCTCCCCGCCACTTCCCAGCACACGTCTTGCTGGGCCTCCCTTACCCTTGCTGCTCATCTGCGCCCCTGATTCATTTTCCTCCACTCTGCTCATCACATCACGGCAAACTTTTTATGTATGTAATTTACTTGTGCGTGATTTTACCTGGTTTATATTAACAAGTGATTGCCCTGGTGGTTCAGTAGTAAAGAGTCCACCTGCAATTCAGGAGATATAGGAGACACCGTTTCGATCCCTGGGCGGGGAAGATCCCCTGGACAAGGAAACGGCAGTCTACCGCAGTGTTCTTACCTGGGAAATCCCGTGGACAGAGGAGCCTGGCGGGGTAGTCCTTGGGGTCACAAAGAGTCGGACACGACAGAGCGACTAAACGATGACAGTGGCTGGCTTTTCTGGCTCCGGGGCTGTCTCCCTCCAGCAGAATCGAGGCCTGGCCTGCGAGGCCCAGGGTTCGTGTTTTGCTCACCTCTTGCGTCTCTCCCCTGAGGACGCGGCCTGGCCCACAGGAGGCACCGTATGTGTCCTGGAGCTAAGTGTGCGTTACTCGGCTCAGAGGGGAGAAGAACCCTGAAGCTGATGCAAAGCCCGGTCGCTCTCGTGAAAGTCCTAACCCCGTCAGAGGCGAGAAGCAGCAGGTTCCCGTTGAAGTAACCGGGGACTCTGAGCATCTCAAACGGATGTGTTTAAACTCAACCGTGAAATAAAATAGTTGAAACCTTTTCACGTCCAACTCATCTCTATGCTTTTAAAGCTATTATTTAAAGTATATCAGGTCTCAATAAACATCTTCCTAAAAAGTCTTGGGCTTTGCCATGGTAATAGAAGTGAGAGGGCCTGAGGAAGAAAATCTTGAAACAGGAATGGATGGGAAGTGTCAGGAGACCCGGGTTCCATCCCTGAGTCGGGAGATCCCCTGGAGCAGGGCATGGCACTCCACTCCAGTACCCTTGCCTGGAGAATCCCGTGGGCACAGGAGCCTGGCGGGCTACCGTCGGTGGGATCACAAAGCGGCGGACACGACTGAGCGACTACCACTTCTCTCAGGAAGTATCACACGTGATTAAAGCACAGATAGACTCAAACCCTCTATTTCACAAGCACCAGTGCTCCGAATGAGCTCATGGAGGCTGACAGAAAGAAACCACCACCATGCTGACCCCAAACGTTGCTTCCTGGTGTTGCATCAGAACATGGTGATCTGGTCAAAAGAGAACTAAAGGCCGCATGAGCATGGTGTTGTGAAATTTACTTCTTCATCTTCACAACTTTCGCAGAGCCCGCTGCTGCTAACAGAATCAGCCTTTGAAAATCTGAGTTCTGGGTAAACAATATGCAAAAAGCAGGCTCAAGTTTAAGAAGGGAAAATGGCAACTATAATTTGACTGCAACTCTGGTGGGTTGAATCACCTTCACTAAAAATGTCTGGGTTGATGTCTTAAGCCCCAGCGCCTAGAACGTCACTTCACTTGGAAAGAGGGTGGTTGGAGACATAAATAGTTGAGAGAAGGTCGCACTGGAGCAGGGAGGGCCCCAGATCACACACGATTAGTGTCTGTATAAAGAGCAGAAACTCAGCCACAGACGCACACACACAGAACGCTGTGAAGGTGAAGGCAGACTCGGGGAGACGTACCTACAGCCCAGGAGCCCCGAGAATCACGTCCATCGCTGCGGGCCGGGGCAGGGCCAAGGCAGGAACCAGCCCTACCCGAGCCTTAAGCACAGATCTCTGACCTCCAGAAGTATGAGACCATGAAGTTCTGGTGTTTAAGACACCCAGTTTGTGCGCTTTGTCACAGCAAACTAATGCATTACCCATATCTGACATTCAGGTGTGTTACCTATTTCACTGGAGGAAAAACTATTTTTAAAAGCACAGAATATTCTGTGTCAACTTTTGACCTGAGAGTTCGTGCTATGAATGCAGTTAGCTGAAGAAAGGAGAAACTCAAACTGTTAACTTCTGAGGAAAAAAACTAATAATAATTCTAAGGTCACAAATGAAGGAAAGTGCAGTCCCATCAGTGTGGCCCCTCTGTCCCCTTGGAGCCCAGACTGGCGTGGTGGCCACGGCGGGAAAGCCCCCCAGCTCCAGCATTCGGGACCCGTCACGGCCCGCAGCCCAGCCTCGCCAGGAACGCCCGGTACCTGCCGGCCCGGTTAACAGCCCCCCGAGCTGTGCTTGCCATCGAGCTCTGGGCACCTCCCTGGTGTGTCGGCACAACTGTGCAAATTGGCAGAACACCCTCCACGCGAGAGTGACCGTCCAGGGAGTGGGGTGCCGGAGGTGTCGGAGCGGCCCGGGCTCATGGCTGGGCTGTGGCCTCCACGCTCAGCGGCCAGCACCTTTCGGAAACACGTCTTCCAGCCGCTTCAGGCGGTGACGGAGGAGCTGCGCGTCCCTCATTTCACACCCGCCCCCCCAGCAGCCTCGTCCAGCTGTGTGCGGCCTTGTGGCCTTGGCTCCCTTCTATGCTGCAGATACTCTCATGGTGTGAGGCTGAGCATCCCAAGGATTTCCTGAAAGGTCACCAAGTTCAGTTCCATTCACCCACTCAGTCGTGTCCGACTCTTTGCAACCCCATGGACCGCAGCACGCCAGGCCTCCCTGTCCATCACCAACTCCCAGAGTTTACCCAAACCTTTGTCCATCAAGTCGGTGATGCCATCCAGCCATCTCATCCTCTGTCATCCCCTTCTCCCACCCTCAATCTTTCCCAGCGTCAGGGTCTTTTCCAATGAGTCAGTTCTTCGCATGAGGTGGCCAAGGTATTAGAGCTTCAGCTTCAGCATCAGTTCTTCCAATGAACACCCAAGACTGATCTCCTTTAGGATGGACTGGTTGGAGCTCCTTGCAGTCCAAGGGACTCTCAGGAGTCTTCTCCACAACCACAGTTCAAAAGGTCAACAAGGGCCCAGCCCAGAGGGGACCAGCTCCGGCCCCAGTGCAGCTCTCGGGCAGTTCTGAGCAACCTGACCCGCTGTCTCATGCCGGAGGAGGGTCTCCTTCTGGACCTCACAGCCTGGCTTAGGCTGCAGAGTTTCCGTCCTTGATGATGATGATGGTGTGTGTGTGTGTGTCTGTGTGTGTGCACGCGCACATGTGCCCTGGCCACCATATGGTCAGACCCTTCCCTGGTCTTGCTTTCATCGCATGATGACAACCCGATGCCCTGCAGAAGCCTGAGAAAAGGAGCGGTTGGCCCCTGGCTTCGGCCTCACCCTCCTCTTTAACCTTTATCGCCATCCACACCCTCCACCCCACCCCAGCTCCTGACCTGTCCCCTGGCCCTGGTCAGCTTCATGTCCAGGGAAGAGCGTTCCCCCGTCCATGGTGCTGGAGGTGTGTTTCCACCGGGCCCCAGCCCATCCCTTCCCTGCAGGCGAGGCTCCCATCCTGACCCACGGATGTCACCGCAGCGCAGACTATATATACAGCAAGGACCAACGCAGACAGCAGACCGACGCCCCCAGCTGGCGACTCTCACACAGACCTCAGGGCCCGGGTCCTTCGGATTTCAGCAACTTCACTTCACTGCTAGCAAACCAGGCTTTAACTATTCAACATTTCTGCTTCGTCCCCTACCAACTAACGTTCAGGTTTTCATCCCAGCTGTATTTCACAACAGAAAACATTCTTTGCTGAAGGCTTGGCTATTAAAAGCACTGTAATGTACTATGCCGATTCCTGTATGACAGAGTATTAAATACTTTTCTTCTGTAATTAACTATTTTGAAAAAATGTGAGTGCGTAATTAGTAAGTTTTAAGGAGCTGGAGCTAATTTCCTGGAATAATACGGTTTTCTTTAACAACAGTGATTATATAACATGCACACACACCTTGGTGACTCTTGAAAGTCGCAGCCCACGGGTATTTCAGCTCTCACACTGCTTTTCTTCTCTTCAGCATCAGATACTGATTCTGAGACAATGAGATACCACCAGCTTGAAATTTCTGGAGGTTTCCATGGTAGCACAAGTCCAGAGCTCCAAGATCCAGTTTCCTGTCTGACGAGAGTTTGACAGGTTGAACTATGCCTTTGAAAGAGAGTTTATGCAACCTTAAATGCCAGTATTCCAGTTTCCAAAACATCTGCAAAGCCAGTTCCGGCATGGGGACATTATGGGGACACGGTGCTCCCCCCGAGGGGACCGTGCAGCCAAGCTCACTTCGTGCCGTGAAGGTCAGGGTGTCTGTCACCCCAGAGTGCAGGTCCAGTTTCTGTCCCACACCCTGCTCTTGAAGCTCGGGGAGGGAGGCGGCAGCTGTTTGTGGAGGAGGACAGGGCGGGGGACTTTGAGTCCCGTGTGGAGAGGCGCTCCGAAGGACTCCTAGGCTCTCGCACCAGCAATCTGAGCTCGGGCACCTCGGGCTCTGCTTCCGAAGGACTGTTATGAGCTGGCCTTTCAAGGCTGGATTCAGGGTCCAGAGTGCTCACCATTACACCACGGGATGGCTCTGTTGGCAAAGAATCCACCTGCAATGCAGGAGACCCCGGTTCAACTCCTTTGTTGGGGTGATCCCCTGGAGAAGGGAAAGGCTGCCCACTCCAGTATTCTTGGGCTTCCCTTGTGGCTCAGCTGGTAAAGAATCCTCCTGCAATGCGGGAGACCTGGGTTATGATGATCCCCTGGAGAAGGGAAAGGCTCCACACTCCAGTATTCTGGCCTGGAGAATTCCATGGACTGTATAGTCCATGGGGGTCACAGAGTCAGACACGACTGAGCGACTTTCACTTTCACAGCAGGTCTGCAGATTCTGCGTTAAAAGCGATGACTCATGGTGGGATTTCTCTGTTTCAAGCCGGTGCTATGCTACCTTCTCGATGGTGCTCAGTGCGGCTCGGTAGCTGGGAAGCTGGGCTGGTGGTTTGCCCGGGAGCTGGTCGCCTCTCTTGTCCCTGTCCAACCCGCCTCCCCCAGAAGTGAGATCATCACCCACCGCAGCTGCTCCCCACACGCTCAGGAAGCCTCATTTTCCTGAAGAAAGATGGCATTATTATCCATCATTTGTCACATCCAAACCCAGCATGCCCTTGCTCGTCTCCAGGGACTGTTACGTTTTCACTTTGCAGGGAAGCTTTGTAAATGATGCGGTCTGTCTCCTCATATTTCACCAGAATTCCTGCCTATGCTGAGTCAGCCCAAGTTCTCTGGGCAGCTTAGACCTCGTCGCTGTGAAGGTGACGAGGGTGAGGATGGAACAGACGGAAAAGTGAATGGCTTGGATATTTACCTGGCCCAGAGTGTAAGTGACTACAGAGAAAGGTTGCTGACATTTCAAAACAGACACTCACACACAGCCTCAAGGATAAATGAGGGAGAGATTAAGTGAGGCAAGGAAAGACGGAAGGAAAGAAGAGAACAGCACGCTAGAAAAAATAGAGGAAAGCACAGAACCAGCTTTGTGCGATTTGAAATAAATATCACACTCCTGTGAGAATTCTCCTTTTGTGCTTCGCGACAGTCTTATTTTCTCAGTGATTATATTAATGACTCTGGGGCCCTCCTGATTTACTATGGCATCAAATAACTACAACTCAGAAGCATGTAGAATAAATTCTAAAAAGAGAAATTTAAATTGAATGAACTCAATGTTCAAAACAAAAAGAAGGACAAATTGAAATGCATTTCTAAAGGAAAATGCATTGACAATGTATGTGGACTTTACAAATCAGAGGACACCTTCCCTGAAAATATTCTAAACTTGAGATGAATTGCTTTGGGAGATTTGGAAATGCCAAGAATATGGACTTTTATCCCTGAAAATCATTTTTTAAAGAAAAGGGAGAAATGATATTCTAGTGCCTTTGTATACCAGTTAGAGACCTCAAGTAAAGGCCACTGTATTTCAGGGCTGTTTGCTGTTCAGTCGCTCAGTCGTGTCCGACTCTGCGACCCCATGGACTGCAGCTCATCAGACCTCCCTGTCCATCACCAACTCACGGAGCTTGCTCAAATTCATGTCCATTGAATCGGTGATGCCATCCAACCATCTCACCCTCTGTCGCCCTGTTCTCCTCCTGCCCTCAGCCTTTCCCAGCTAAAACTGGCTAAAAAGCAAACTTCTCCTTTGCAACTGGAGACACCCCTTCCCTCCTGCACTGGGAGGCAGTGGACATCGGGGAGGACCCTGGCCTGGCTGCCCAGACCCTGCCCCTTGACTGGGACCCCAGGAGGAAAGTCTGTGAATCTGTGCCTCAGTTTCTTTCTGCCTCAAAGAGGAAAGAAAGCAACTGAGCCTCTGACCACATTTAGGAATGCACCTGAAAGTTTATCCATTAATCTTGGCAGTTCCCCAAACCTCAAGTCTGCAACTGCTAGGGTCATGCATTCATTTTAGTGGATCCAGCCATCATTTTTTATGTAACAGAAGAGAAAATAATGCAACATAGTCTGTATACTATAAATGTGATAGACGAGAAGAGACTGCATGTCACATACTAAGGGCGAGCACCGTGTCATCACACGTTTCTGTTTCGGACACACACAATCCCAGTGTGAAGCTCCTTTCCTCTGCAGGTCACGGTGAGGATGGGGGGTTGGGAGAGGCTCCCACGACCCTCCAACCAGAAGAGGATGCTCCACCCACAAGCAGACAGAAACCAGGCTGGCCCTGTGCCAACCTTCACCTGTGTTGTCATGGCAACCTGCGCCCACCACCTCCACGTTGTGGCGTCCTGTCACTCTCCACTGCTGGGCCTGAGAACCTGCTGCTGGGGGGCTCCGTGCACCGCGGGCCCCTGACACCCCCAGCAGCGGGGGGAGGAGGGAGCCCGATGGGAAGCCGCCAGGCTCACGCCGGTGCCGCAGAACCGCCGGGTCGAGTGATTTCTTCTCATCAGCAGGCAAAGCTCCCCTCTTGCGTTTTTTCCTGTTACATGAGAGATGCGCTTACAGGACTCGGAGGGGGCGGTGGAAGCAACAGAAAGACGGTCCCGGTTCCCTTGGAGACAGCCTGAACCTCCGGCTCGGGATTGGACCGCGGACTGGGGGCTGGGCTGACCCCTCGCTGGTGATGAAACAAGAGGAAAGGAGAGAAAGGCCACAAAGGCACCCAGGGGATCCGGCACAGTAACGCGGCTTCCTCGAGAAGTGGATTCAGGATTTCTATTCGGATCCTGCTTCTTCTCTATGTGGTATCTGCATTTTGATCTTTCAGTCATCGAAGAGAAAGACACATTCACAAGGACAAAAACACCAAAAACAAAGGAAACTCTTTAAGAAAACCACATTCATAACCGTGTCTGTATAAGCCTAGCGTTTCTAAACGTTTTATAACTTCTCATTAAATATTTGATCCCTTTCCAGTGAGTGAGGCGGCCTTCCCAGGTGGTGCTAATGGTAAAGAACCCGCCTGACAATGCAGGATACCCAGGAGACAGGGGTTTGATCCCTGGGTCGGGAACATGCCCTGGAGGAGGGCATGGTAATCCACTCCAGTATTCTTGCCTGGAGAATTTTGCCTGGAGTATTGCCTGGAGAATATTGCCAGTATTCTTGCCTGGAGAGGTTGCAAACACACATGCACGCATGCGCGCACGCACACACACACACACACACGCAGAGTGAGTGTAGGGACCCTTTAAGATTATAATGAGGAAAATCACCAGAAACAACATTTTTAAATGGGCAAAAGATGTGAATAGACACCCCAGCAGACAAGATCCAGGGTTGGTAAACAAAGATGTTGCTCAAGTCAAAATCAGGATGAGATGCTACCAAAGGCCCAAGAGAACAGCTAAACTTGAAAAAGGGGCCACACCAAGTGTGGTCAGGGGTGCGGAAGTCAGCCTCTGACTGGTGACGACGTAAAACGTGCCACCACGTTGGATTCTTAAAAAGTTAAACATACGTTTACCATTTGAATCCCTTTCCAAGCCTAGGTATTTACCCAGAAGAAAGTGTAGGAACGTCTGTGCACGTGTGTGTTTACAGGAACATTATACGTCACAGCCAACAGCTTGGATTCCACTTGGATAGAATTCTGGAAAATGCAAACTAATCGATCGTGATGAAAAGCCCATCAGTGGTTGCTTTGGGATGATGAGGGGAGGGTGGGGGAGGACTAGGGGGAGGACTTCCTAGGAGAAACCAGAGATTTGAGGCTGAGGACACATCTACTGTTTTGATCGTGGTGATGGTTTCACAGGTGCAGACATATATCAAAACCAGCCAAAGTATATGGGTTTATGTACTGTGTGTCTGTGACATGACAAAAAGCTTTAAGAACAAACAGAAGCCCTCCTTTGCCTCTCAGCCCCCGAAGAATGCTGTCAACCGTCTCGTTCCCTCTAAAGATGGCCTTCACCCCCTTCACCATCTCACCCCTTACTCATCACTCCTATGATCTGATTGATACTCTCACAACTCTACTGAAATCACTCCTGCAAAGGCCACTTCGTATCTGCAGAGTGTGAGAGCCCTGGCCCTTCTCCATCACCTCGTCCTGGCACCCGGCCAGGGGTCCACTCCTGTGGTCTCCCTCAGCTGCAGGGCCCTTGCTCCTCCTCCCGTCTCCCTGGCCACGCCCCTCCGTCTCGCCCAGGTCCTCCCCTTGCTCCTCCTCCCGTCTCCCTGGCCACGCCCCTCCGTCTCGCCCAGGTCCTCCCCTTGCTCCTCCTCCCGTCTCCCTGGCCACGCCCCTCCGCCTCGCCCAGGTCCTCCCCTTGCTCCTCCTCCCGTCTCCCTGGCCACGCCCCTCTGTCTCGCCCAGGTCCTCCCCTTGCTCCTCCTCCCGTCTCCCTGGCCACGCCCCTCCATCTCGCCCAGGTCCTCCCCTTGCTCCTCCTCCCGTCTCCCTGGCCACGCCCCTCCGCCTCGCCAAGGTCCTCCCCTTGCTCCTCCTCCCGTCTCCCTGGCCACGCCCCTCCATCTCGCCCAGGTCCTCCCCTTGCTCCTCCTCCCGTCTCCCTGGCCACGCCCCTCCATCTCGCCCAGGTCCTCCCCTTGCTCCTCCTCCCGTCTCCCTGGCCACGCCCCTCCGTCTCGCCCAGGTCCTCCCCTTGCTCCTCCTCCCGTCTCCCTGGCCACGCCCCTCCGTCTCGCCCAGGTCCTCCCCTTGCTCCTCCTCCCGTCTCCCTGGCCACGCCCCTCCGCCTCGCCCAGGTCCTCCCCTTGCTCCTCCTCCCGTCTCCCTGGCCACGCCCCTCCGTCTCGCCCAGGTCCTCCCCTTGCTCCTCCTCCCGTCTCCCTGGCCACGCCCCTCCGTCTCGCCCAGGTCCTCCCCTTGCTCCTCCTCCCGTCTCCCTGGCCACGCCCCTCCGCCTCGCCCAGGTCCTCCCCTTGCTCCTCCTCCCGTCTCCCTGGCCACGCCCCTCCATCTCGCCCAGATCCTCCCCTTGCTCCTCCTCCCGTCTCCCTGGCCACGCCCCTCCGCCTCGCCCAGGTCCTCCCCTTGCCCACTTGCCGCTGGCTTGTCAGGGCTCTGTTCTGCCATCTTGGTCCTTCTGCGGTGACCCCCGGGCTGCTAACGGCGCCACACCCCGACTCCACACTGGCCTCCATCGGGGGGCCCTGTCAGCCCCAGGAGCCCCACGGGTCCTACTCTGAGCTCCTTCTCTTCTCCTGGGAGTCACCCTGACTTTCCCAATCTCGGGCACCGTCACACCGTCCTCCAAATCAGGAATCCAGCGGTGCTCGGACACGTGTCCCTGCACCCACCATCAGTCCGTGTGTCCTGTGAGGCCCACCCCCGAGAGTTCACATCCGGTCTCTCTGCTCCACATCCACCTCCGCCTTCATCTCAGGTTTCATCCTCTGTATCCTGGCCTTTCTAAACTCTTCCTCCTGCAGAGGGACCTTTCTAGAAGGGAAATCTAACCATCCTCCTCTGCCCCCACTTACAAAGCGCCCATTTCCACGGCACTCAAGCTCTAACGTGCATAAAACCATCTGGGAAGACTTTAAAAAGCAGGCTCTGACCTCAAGTAACTGGGTCTCTGCTCCAGGGGCTCTGACGTGGGCTGTGAAACTTTAACAAAATCTCTGATGGGGTTGGGGGCCGCGGTCAGGAGGGGCGGATACCGTTGCCTACCAGTCTTCATTCCTGAGGAGGGGGCGGCTCGTGCACTTAGGGAATAGAGGCCAGCGGTGCTCCTCGACGTCCCCCAAGCACAGGCAGCCCGCCCACCCTAAACCGTCAGCGTCGTGGAGACGCTGGCCTGGAGAGCAGGCTGCCCTGGCCTGGAGGAGGGGCATCCTTTCTCTTTGCAGGACACACGAGGCCCCCTGACTCGCCAGAGTGCAGTCCCGGAGGAGACGCTCACCAAGACCCACAGTTGGTCACTGTCCACACTCACCTGCTCGTGGGCGCCCCGCCACCTTCTACTCAAATGCCAGGCCCTGGCAGCATCAGCCAAGCATGGGACCTGCATCTGCCCACAGGAGAGCTCGTGTTTGGATCCTGAGGGCTGGATGCAGTGGGATACCGCGGCACGCGGAGCAGGGGCGTGTGGGCCCTGGAGACCGTCCCGCCTGCGGCTTGGCCCCCGGTCTCCTCCATCCTGCCCGCTTTCCCTCCGCCGCTCTCTAGCCCCTTGGGCAGCTCTGTGAGCTGCTGACCATCCCTCCAGTCCGTTCCCTCTCTTTTAGGCAGAGTTATTCCAAAGTCGTTCCTGCTCTTTGTAACCCAGAATCTCACTGACACATCTGTGTCACGCAGCGTGTCTGGAACCAAAAGGCGCTCGATACACATGCTCGACGCCTGTCACCGCGGAGAGGAGAGGTGGGAGGACGCACGCTGATGGACACCAGGGAAGGCCTTCCTGCGTCCACCAGCCGGGCGGCACTCACCCCTTCAGAGGCGGGGCTGGCTTCGCGGGCCGGCAGGACGGTCCCTGACGGCGACACTGTCGGCCTCTGCACGTCCACGCTGGCTTTCGGAGCGAACAGACGATGAGTCAGATTACAGCCTCTTCCCGAAGCTGAGGAAGCACTCTCCAGAGCAGAGTCAGAGAAAAGGGAGAGAACCCTGCGAAGGGAGGGTGACTGGGGTTGCATCCGACAAGCCCACACTTGTCCACCTGAAATATAACATAGCAGGAAGGAGGACTGAGCACGTGTCCAGCTAACCATTTCCCTGAAAACAACCGAGAAGAGTAAATGGACTGGGGCTTAAGGGTAGAGACAGAGGGACGTCTAAAGCAAAGGTCCAATAAAACGTGTGCCGTGCAAGCTTCCTAGTCTGGATAAATTCTCTCCGTCAGCTTGTCAGGAGCTGAGTTCAGGCCCCGAATCATAAACAAAGTCACATCTAGAAGGTTCTAAGCGTGACGCACTGCGCAGACACACAAGGAGGTAAAGGTCCTTCAGAACCACGATGCTCAAAGGTGGTCGTTGGGACATGAGTACAGAAACCGGTAGGAAGGAATCAAGAACCGCTTAGAAAACGGAAAGCAGAAATGTTCATGGGTGCTCAGTCACTCGGTCACGTCTGACTCTTTGTGACCCCGTAGCCTAGCCTGCCGGGCTCCTCTGTGCGTGGGAGTCTCCAGGCAAGAACACTGACGTGGGTTTTGCCATTTCCTCCTCCAGGGGATCTTCCTGACCCAGGAATGGAGCCCGTGTCTCCTGCGTCTCCTGCGTCTCCAGCACTGGTGGGCAGGCTCTTCACCACAGGTGCCACCTCGGCTACAACGCGGGTCAGAGGACCTTACATCTGTTACATTGATAATAGGAAAATGTGCCGTGTACTTTGCAGGTCTTTTTAAAATGTCATTGAAATTGAAGATAGGAAAAAAACTTGATTCTTCACCCCAGATAACTTGAGAAGCAAAGAAAATGTCTAAACTAATGGGTTGATCTAGGGCTTTGCAGGTGGTACTAAAGGTGAAGAACCCACCCGTCAGTGCAGGAGGCCTGGGTTCGATCCCTGGGCTGGGGAGATCCCCTGGAGAAAGGAATGGCTACCCACTCCAGTATCCTTGCCTGGAGAATCCCATGGACAGAAGAGCCTGGCGGGCTACAGTCCGGGGGGTCTCAAAGCGTCGGACATGATGAAGCAAGTTAGCACGTACCGTGGGTTGATCTATGGAAGTAAGTCTGTGCAAATCAGTCCGATGAGTATTTCACTTCTAACAGCACAGTCTTCAGGGAAGGAGCTGAGATGGGGCAAAGCTCTGGATGGTGGCATCAACACGCTGTTTGGAGCCCCCCTTGCCCTCGCCGCCTCCGCCCCCGGGAGCTTCCCTACCAGGGAAACGGAGATCCTTCCAGAAGGCTGAGACACAAGCCAGAGCACCACGGCCTGGGACCTCCTTCCATGGGAGAGGCGGCAGGAGGTACTCAAGGAACACCCCCAGCCCACCGCCCGCCAGCACTGGCCCCCGCGATCTCCGGTCCTCAGTCCTGGCCAGCGAGCCTGGAGCCAGGGAGGCAGGCATGTATTCTGCTTGTGGAGGGGAGGCCAGGAGGGAAGAGGCGGCAGACGGCCTCCTTTGTTCACACATTTCACATCTGTCCCCCCCGGGCCTGCCCTGGGGGCCTGCCCCCAGCCAGCCCCCGTGTCAGGCGCTGGGACGCAGCCGGTGTGCCATGCGGGGCCGTCGCCAAGTTGCACCTCAGTTGTTTCCTCTGCCCTGTTCTCTGCCAGCCCCAGGCCCCTGGCGGGGAGACCCTGAGGAGGGGGCAGCCTGGCCTGCAGCTGACGTGACCCGGATACCAGCAAGCTGCGGGCGGTCCCCCAGCATGACCCCTCCCAGCAGACACTGACCACAGGAGAAAAGCTGTTTTGCAACTGTGCTCACGCTGAACTGGGGTGAATCCCGGTTGGCGTGCAAAAAGGCAGCGATGTTGTGACCATCTGAGCTGCTCTGTGCTGCGAGGAGGACCGAGGCTTCTGTCCGCAGGGGGAGGCGGAGGTGGGGGGTGGGCATGCCTGTGGTCACACTGTGTGAGGGCGGGTCTGCAGGGCGTCACCTGCCGGGACTCAGCAGTGAGTATCAGTGAAGCACAGCCCGGGACGTCACAGGACACGGCCCAGACCCAGCGTCAGCACCCAGAAAGGAGAACCCAAGTGTGCTTGTTCTGAGATGATGGTGGTAGAAGTGGATGGAATGAGAACTATGATGGGGTCGGGGACCGGGGTGGGGGGGTCTCAGAGACAGTGAGACCACCCAGAGGCAGTGAGCCACCTCTGGGCAAGGAGCCCCTGAAAGGGTGAAAGGGTCCTGCAAGGCAGAGCCCTAGGGTCAGTGTCCAGAGTCTGACGGTAAGTCTGACTTGGGCCCATAACTCTAAGCTCATGTGGCTGAGTCGTGGAAGGAGAGGAAACCGCCCATGTGCGTCTGACCCCAACCCCGACGTGTCTGACCCTCTGGCCTGTTAGGGACTGCTGGGCCTCCCTCTAAATTCTGTGACCTAAATCGTAAATGGGACTGGAAGGACCTCACCTGCCTGGCACAGGGACGTCCTCTTAATATCTTGGGACCCTGTGGCAACAAACTCTGAGGGCTCACCCTGTCCATAGCCCAAACCAGCTGGAGGTGATGGGGCTCTGGTTTAGGGCAATGCGGGTTTACTCTCTTGGACACGTTTCAACATCACTGCATTGCTGAAAGCCGGAATACCGCTTCCTCGGGTTTCCGTGCTGGGAACTGAAACTCTTGGCAACTTCTCCTATTCGCTCCATTACACCCTGAAGGTGGTGCTCCTCCGCGGCCTGCGTTCCCAAGGTTTCTCCTCTACAAATGCTGGTGAGAGGGAAACGAAACACTCGTGGGTTTTAAGTTGGTGGTGTGTGTGATGTGCTTAAATAACTCCTTGGGGTGCTGGGCATTAAGAGTGTGGGTAGTTACATTTTAGACAGAGCTTCCCAACTCTGGCCACACCTTACGATCACCAGGAAGTTTCAGTCTGACACCCAGGCCACCCGCGGTTCTGAGTCACTAGGCAGCGGCGTCTCATGTTTTGTTTCTAACTATCCAGGGGCAGCCGGAGTTGAACATAGGTCACTCAGCCATGACACAGGACAGCTGTTAACTCAGCTGGAGGGAAAAAGATCCTTTAATGGTGCTGCCACTTAAAATTCATTTTGATGACTCAAAAAAAACAACCCTCCACATGATTTCCTAGAGTATTTAAGAATATGTGTGTTAGTCGCTAAGTTGTGTCCAATTCTTTGCAACCCCGTGAACTGTAGCCCACCAGGTTCCTCTGTCCATGGAATAATCCAGGCAACAACACTGGAGTGGGTAGCCATTCCCTTCTCCAAGGGAATTTCCAGACTCAGGAATAGAACTCAGGTCTCCTGCATTGCAGGCAGACCCTTTACTGTCTGAACTACCAAGGAAGCCCATTTAAGAATATAATACATTTCTTTTTTTCTTGAGTCTTTTTCATGAAAGTGAAGTGATACAAAAATCTGATCTCCACTGCTAGGTTTAATTTTGCGAAACAAACCCCAAAGCTACAAAACAATGGGACGTTTGTTTTTAAATAAAGAGGCTTTAAACAGGCCGGCTGCAGCATTTTCAGGCGTGGTTTTAATCGCCTCTTAATTCCCTAGAGAAACAACCAGGCCCATGGTCTTTCCTGGGCCAACACGGAGGGTGCCCAGGTGGTCTCCTGGGGAGGAAGGTGCCAGAGAGGTCGGCACACCCACCCCCTTCTCCTACCCGCTCCTCTCCTCTGCTGCCTTGCACGCCCCAACCCTGATCTAGCGGACCCCTCATCCTGCTGTGCTCTGGGTGTGTGCTCGGGAGCAGCTCCAGCTGGCCCTCGGTCCTGGTGTGTGCACCCCCAGTCCAGGCCGGGGACTCATTCGGGCCTGAGTCTCTATAGCTGGTTGTCACAACATCCCAGCAGTGCCTGGCGACCAACGGGTGCTCACAGGCCCCTCGCCAGCATCGCCAGTTCTGTTTTACCACCCTAACAACAGCTGCCCTTCACGTTGGAATTTATTGCTCGTTTGCCCTCACCCCATAACTTTCTTGCTCTTTTTAGATTCTTTCCCCCAAGAAAGTTCCTTGAACATTAGGATCTTTGCTCTTGCCTGGAAATCAGTAAGCGCTTGGGAACACCACGTGTGTTTGCATTTTTAAAAGCTGCAGGCACTCGTGACATGGAGAATTATACTAAACCAATCCATTCCAGTATTCTTGCCTGGAAAATCCCATGGACAGAGGAGCCTGGCGGGCCACAGTCCAGGGGGTCACGAAGAGTTGGACACGACTGAGCACAAATGTGCGAGTCACATCCTGACGATACCTCATGAGACTAAGTAACTATGGAAGTAGACGTCATTATCTGTTTGTTCTTCAGTCAATCACATCATTCCATCCTTTCAGGTGCTTTCATGCATCCTGGCAGCAGGAGGGTGAGACATGTGGCCAGGGCAGATTTGGGATCTGGGCGTCTGCAAGTGGACCCTGTTCATGGAGGCGCAGAGAGACAGCTGAAGGTCTGCCCTTCGGCACTTACTTTTACTCCCCCGGGAAGTCGGCAGCTACTCTCGAGGGGGACAGAAACTTCCTGCTCCCCGACAGAGACTTCATATGCTCGGCTCTAAGAGGAGCAGAGTGCTGCAAATAATGGTTGTGTTTATAGTGTTTCACAGAAGTCCAAATATGATCGCTTTTTCCAGTGAAATTGTTGGTTCACATAGTATGTTCCCTGTTGGTGGGAATGTAAATCAGTTCAACCACAATAGAAAATGGTATGGAGGTTCTTCAAATTTTTTTAAAAAATAAAACTACCAGACAATCCAGCAATCCCACTTCTGCGTGTATATCCAAAGGAAAAGAGGTCATTATGTTGAAGAGATATCTAAATACATGTTAGTTGTAGCATTATTTACAATAGCCAAGATAAGGAAGTGATCTCAGTGTCCATCGGAGGATAAATGGATAAAGAAAATGTGATTATATATATATACCTT